TTTGTTTACATAGATGACCAAACCCACTGAGATAACTTAGGCTACAGTTTACCTCCCTGAGCTGACGTTATCTCTCTCAGTCCCACAGGAGAGGACTCTCCCTCTCCTTATTGTTGAAACAGCTAATCTCCGTTAGCTCCGAGCTAGCACCAGATGCTAACGACAACCCTGTAACTCTCTCAGTCTCTCTTTCTCTCTCTCTTGAATCGACCAGTGGCCTTTATTTATCATGATCAATGAACGAATCTACGAAACAATGACACCAGCCAGGCTCACCTTCATCTTTTGGGAACAGAAACATCGCCACTTCGGCAGACTTGACATTACTACAGCCAGCAGCAATGCATCGTTTCACCTGTGTTTTTCCTCCCTCTTTCTTCACTGTCGCCTCCATTGTCAGGTTTTCTCGTTTGGCAATCACTTCCAGTCGACTCCGACACACTTTCCAGGAAAATACTAGCTCAAAAACGTTGAGAAATTCGACTTTGAAAAAGAGAAAAAATGAACGGTGGTGAATGTAAACAGTGCGGCGGCGTCCATCTCGTGACGTCACGCAGTAGATTGCAAGCCACGCCCACGAAGGCGGAGGTCGACTGCAGATTTCCCCGGCAAATTCAAAACTCGTCAAATTCGTTGCTATTCCAACATCTTTTGATATGGGTTCCAATGGACAATTTTTGTCATTACTATACATATTAGCATAACAGATCATGCACAGGTGCACACTTCACAGGGTCTTTAACGCAGGTCACTCACCAAGATAGCTGCCCAGTTCTCCACTGGTTCTCCTCACACCACAGCTCAATTTCTCTCCGATGGCCGTTATTTCTTCTAATCCTTGGCTGCTCCTGGTCTCTTGGACGCCTAGCAGGCTCATAATTATAAGGTTGTGGTCCGTCATATGCATTCGAATATTCATGTTCAACTTCTTCTGTGTCGAAACTAGCATTGGGATCCATGTTTATTAATACGTTAGACCGGCCGCTCTCCCCCTTGTTTCCCCCATGTTACGTCACACGCGGGAGGTCACGTGCCGAGGCTTTTTTTATGCGGAAGTGAACATTTCTTACAAAAACGACGCCAGATGTCACTGTAGTGTATATTTCTGTATATTTTTTTGAAAATCTAGTGTATTCATCATTTTCCTACACATTTATTCACAGGTGTCTTTAACCTGGAAGTTGCTCTTTAAGTTAGGTAAATGTAGTATTTAATTAATTTGACTGACTTCTGCAATTATATATGGCTAAAGCTTTAAATCAGATGTTGACAAAACTAACATTCAGCCTATAAACAGCAACTAAAATGGTTTGGTGAAGAATCAGTTGTTTTAATTACTTGTAAAGTATCCTACAAAACATTTAAATATTGCTTTATCTAGAACAAACTACAAGGAATTCACTATCTGTATTACAAATTCAAAGTTGTATTTGAATTCTCATAATTATGAGGTTAGGATACTGAAGCCAATCTTCTGAGTGAATAAAATGTACAGCCAAGCCATGATAAACATGAAGCCTTTTGCTCAGATATTGCGTTTTGCGGCAGCACAGTTCAGGCAGTTGAAATGTATTCCCTGTGTGATGACACAAGAGTTCGTCCAAACCCTCCAGTATGTTTGCACAGCTACCTGGTTTTGGACTGGGGGAGTCAGTAAACAGGTAAAAATGCTACAAATAGAATCTACCCACTTAAGAATATAGTCTTGAGGGAGGGCAACCTGTCCCTGAGTCTGCGTCAGCACTGACCTTTTTGCTGTTTGCTAAAGGGATTTGATTTCAACTCGAGCTCTTTCGCTTACCCTTTTTTTTCCTTCAACATTTACACTTAAGCCATTTGAGGAGTATAAAATGGCAAATTTTTCCGTGAAGGCAAAGCTGAGGTAGTTCAGTCTTGGGCCAAGTGATATCAGGGCAGTGATAAGCTTATTCCAGCTATGAAATGCATTTTGAAGTTTGGATGTTTAAAGGTCTTGCCAAACACAAAATCAAGCTTGAATACAATTCTGACCTCTTAGATATTCATGTCTTTTATTGGGAGGACAGAGGTCAGGGTCAGTACAAAATACTGATTGAGTGACTTCAACAGTGCTTACCTGTTGTCACAAGTCCTCAAGCCACTAATGGATGTATTTATACTCTTTACTACTTCCTGCTGTGAACCCTTACTAAAAACCATTTGCAGTCATCTCCCCTTGGTTGCTTACAGACTCAAAATATCCATTCCTGTGAGTTGGACATTGACCGAACATCTCTCTACAACATAAACGTTCAGCCCCCATGAGCCTGCAGCACCCTCTGCTGGCATTACACTGGCACTTGCTGTTGGTATGGGATCAAAGTGATTGATATTTTCTGAAGATTATAATAAGAGTCAAAGCAAAACCTAGCACAAACGAAATTGTGGTTACAATCAGAATTGAAACTTAATGCAAATGTTTCTATAGCTCAGCTCTTTTCCACTAAACTGAGAAAATAAAAACAATATGTAAAGCTCCACCATGCATTACTTTCTAAACAAAGCTGAACAAATAGCAGATTTCCTTTGTGGGATCCAGTGTGGTTTTTGTGGTTGGGATATCATCTGATATCAGGCCAGCTGTAGAATGGGTGTCTGCAGGTTCAACAAGAGCCATGTTTGCTTTCACTGCTGTTCCAATCCAGTTCTGTTTATTAAGGTCTACATTTCATGGCACACTATATTTCATATGAACTATTACGTGGCTCAGCAGTTTTGATATAAGCCATAGGGACGAACACTCAGTCTTCAAAGACACACATCTGGTCAAACATCTGGGAAGCCTGTATTTTCAAAATGCATGAGACAGTCAGCTGCATTCCAGTTTTTCAAGATCACTCGGCATAATGGACTTTAGTGAAGTTTAGTTAGAAAAACGTGAAGAACAGCGTGCTTGACCCTTTTAAACTGTGTCTTCATTACTCTGTCAAACAAATAAGTATATAAACAAAAAATACATATCCCATCATGAAAGTCACAACAAAAGAGCAGTTTTTTTAGTTACCATCACTTTATTGTAATTGGTCATCCTACTGTATTCTAACGGAATGTCCAACAGAAATGCTAAGGAAAACATATTGTCTGATAAAATACAAAGAAACATACAGTAGACTGCTTACTTTCTACATGTTGCGTTATCATTCTTAAAGAAGTTTTCTGCTAAACTTACAGTTACATTACATCAAGATAAAGGTCCCAACTCCTTAAGTAAAACAACAGTGTGTAAGAGTGCCAATGAAATGATCATTCCCACAATCTGTAAACAATGCATGTTTATTTGAGCCCATTGTTATTTAAAGCTAAATCCTTTCCCCCTGTGACAGTCCATTGTAATCTGCACCGGAGGAAAGTTAAAGTCCAAGGTTTCCATGGTGTTTCCTTTGCTGGGACAATGTCTGTGTGCGCATGTGGTGCTTTGCTATGCTGTACAACAGCATTTCGCACCAATACCCATAATGCACTGTGGGAAAAGGTAACTCCCATTTTGTGTACCTGAAGGAAACCAGAGACGGAAACTACCAGGGAAGGCAGAAGAGGAAACAAAACCACAGCAAGAAGAACAAGAACGTTAAGACTGTGTGTTTGGATTATCCTTGTTTATAAGGAGCAAGTTGTTTTTGTTTTATGGTAAAGTGGATTTTCTGAGATCAATTCAAGACTTTTATAGGTACTTTTAGAGTTTGTTTCTCTACCTTTCTGGCACTTCAAAGGTGAGAGTGAGAGAAGTGGGACAGTCAGAGCAATGGGAGGAGCTGCAGGGTTCACCATGTATGGAATCCAGCTCTGTTCACATGGTAAATAGAGGGTCACATGGGGCCATAGTCTTGCGGAGTGGGGGGAAACGGGAGGGAAAGGAACAAGGAGAGAGTGAAGAGATACTCTGCAGGACTTTGGCCTGCCTCATGTGCAAGAGGCAGCACTTTCAACCTGAGTTTAGAGGATACTAGATCCCACTACAAAGAGGAATGAACAAAAGATTTAAGAGTGCCATGTTGAGGTCAAACTAAAACTTTGCCTCTACTGGGCCTGGATTTGACTTCCTTTGGATACTTTCCCTCTTCCCTGTGGGGGTGAAAGTTCAACAACTAATGCAATTTTGGTTGATGTAACTGAACACCCCTTACACACTTTATTCCATACGATTGAAGAGCCAAGATGCCCATCAACTTTACAGTAGTACCAGTGGAGGATGCAGAGGGTGACGGCAACAGTGCGGCTGCAGCTGTAAGCAGCAAACCTGTCAGTTTGGGCAACATTTTTGCCAAGGAAGATGACGAAGACAACCTACAAGGACCTCACTCAGGTAAGAATACATTGTAAACATGCTCATTCAGCTACACTAAGGGAGGACAGCTTTTAGCCGGAACTTATCACACCATACACTGGGTAAAAGAGAGGTGTGTATGTGCTTGATCAACTGTATGCTTCATTGGATAATGGAAAATGTAAAGAACTGATGAACGCTGACACAAGTTTCAGGATACATGTTTTGGCAGGCACATGATGCACACAACTGTTAAGTGCGACGTCGTTCAACTAGCAACAACTTGCAGGGCAGCTTGATTGGTGTGGTAGGAAGAGGGGGAGTGACTGTGTTGTTTTTACCTTCTGGTGTTCCTTCTTGTTCTTTATTGGATTTAGCCAAAGTCAATTTAGTTTAAGCTTCAGCTAAAGCGGTTTGAAACATTGTTATAGAAGATAATATATGAAATAAAGACAACAACATTCTACAGATGATGACACAACACACATGTCAAGGCCTCCCACCTGTTATTTATAAGAGTAACATAAACAGACAGAAAGAGATAGAAAAAGAACGACAGGGCATAACTTCATCTTCTGTATTTGTTTTGCATCTTGATTTGTGTTTCTGTTCAGTTTACATCACTCTATTTTTCATACATATGTCTGTTTTGCCGTGGTCATTTGGCATCTCTTGTATTTGTTGTATGCCTTGCTCAGCCTCTTGTTTTGCCACTGTTTCGTTATTCTTTCACTTTGAGATATATATATTTTTTTTATAGATTTGGGACAGTCTCATCCCTTGTCCACTTATTCACCTACCTCTTATATTTTAAGTATTATTAAAGGAAAGGCACAAAAGCTCTGTGGCTATAAAACATATCGAACCAAGAACACACATTTTTATTTGGAGAAGCACAACATTTTAATACTACAACTTTTATTTTGAAATGTTTCTGTAACTTTCAAGAGGAAACCCATGCTCACACAAAAACATTGATCTTGATTCAGCAGCTTAGCCCACTTTTTGGAACCTAACGCTGATAGTCAGTTTGAAGGTCATAGTCCTGGTAGTCTGTCTCAGATTTACTATTTTGGTTGCTATCAATGGCCTTACAGTTGTCTCTGTTCAAACTTGTCAGTCTTTCTAAGTATTGTGGCACCTGTTGAGTTGCCTAAAACTCCTTAAAATAAAAGGATTATGTCTGTATAAAAACTGCTGATGTCATAGAAAGTCACATTTCCCAATTATTTCTGCATGGTCACACTCACTTTACATGGACTTTATTACAGGTGGTTATGTATAATAATTTGTTTCAGTAGTATGGTGCATCACTTTGACCATAACTAATTAATAATGACTCACTAACTAACCAAGCACAAACCATAAACAGTCAGAAAACATGATAAAACCAGGTACTAATTTTACAATTATGTTAAATGTGAAAAAAGGTCATACTGACATTATTTCGCAAAATGTGGCTCAAATGCAAAGCCCTGGTTTTTAGCAAATGATACACTGTGCATTTTTATAAATATTTCTTTCAGTGTGATAAATGAAAGGCAAATACTCTATACTGATATATAATACCATCTAGCTTTGTATAGCCTACAATCATGGACATTATGAGGGGGCCCCTGACACAGACATGTAAAAGGCCTGACATCTCAGTCTAATATATATCTGTCTCTCACACACACACACACACACACACACACACACACACACACACACACACACAAAAACTGACCCCATTGACCTTCAGTCACTATGCTAATATTGGTGGTAGAAATACCTTCAACGTTCTGCTTGCAGAGACACGCTGTATTTAATGCAGCAGATACAAAGGTATCCTGACGCTTCAAAAGCTCTGGAACCTATACTTTTCCCATAATGCAACTTATCAATAGTTATTTTTCTCAAGATATAGTAAACCCCAGATGAACACCACAGCTGGTTTCATAGCCCTGTAATACTATTTTCTTCATAATGAGTGAGCTGATGGGAAATCTGTAGGATAAACTGACATGTTTTTTCCCACAAATTCCTTAAATCAACCTTTAATGTGACAATAATGCAATCCTTTATCCGTGGCAGTACATTGGGTACTTTCACTTTTGATGTGTTTCATTTTAAAGGTCGAAGTCACAGAACGTTCAGCGCTCAAAAGGTCACAAACACCCACGTATGCAGACACAGTGCTGATTAGACAAGATGTCATCAAGTAAACAATAACATCTCAGAACCATCATTTTCCAAAGCAGTGTCGTATGACGGGTGTCATGATTTGGGGCATTCAACTATCTGCCTGAAGTAGGATTCACAGGATGCACAACACATTTGTTTCAAGTTCTAAGAAACCGTTTTTTAAAATTTATAGATTTGAATCAAAGTCAAAGATTTGATGTTGGTAAAATATGCTTCATACAATGTTTCCTACCTCAAGATTGCTGTCTTTGACAATGATAGCTGGTTGACAATAAAGGTTCATCGCCATCATCTGAGATCAAATATAGGTAAAAAAATGCAAAACAAAAAAAGCACACTGACAACTACATAGATGACAACATGTAACAATCAAAGTTATAGTTAAAGGGGACCTTTTGTGCAAAATCCACTTTTTCATGTGAAACTATTCTGAAAGTTTCAGGAAAAAGCTTCTCTCACTTTTTGTTCTGATCCATTTATATAAAAACCTGTCTGAAAATGAGCTGATCAGATTTTGGCCACTTCGTGATGTCATAACATATTTTTGGGTTGTATAACCATTAGCCAATCACCAACCAAGGTAACCCCCCCCCACACACACACACACACTTTATCACCTGAATCTCCTCCTAGAGCACCATTGTGTTCTTTTTAACCAAATATCTCTCAGAGGAGCGTGGGGGGTGGCTCCTTATTTTCATTCTAAAGTAACAGAATCAGCACTTTGGAAACAGGGGGGATTATGGGATGCTACAATGATCTGTTTGGTATTTGGAGCCAAACACTTCGGAGACATGTTTTGTATATATCTGAGACCTATAATATATTGATGGAAAACGGTATAATAGGGGACCTTTAACAGAGAGGACGGAGTAAAACGTAGAGTAGGTTTATTCATTGTTTTTGGAATATGCTTATCTGCCAGAGAGTGACATGAGCTAACAGTTCTTCATGTTAGCCTCTTAATTTTGTCTTCAAAGTGCACTAGATTGTGGCATTTACTTCATATGATGTTTCCAAAGTCAATAAGTAATTGCCTTGGATAATTCTCATGTAAATATTGACTAAAATAATAATGATTCTGTCGTTACCATGTGTGATCAGCCCCATGTTAAGGGCCAGTCACTGGGTATTAATCACAGGACTTCTAGCAACAATAGCAAAGTGAGGAAAAGGATGTTGAATAGCATTGATGTCCATGTGTAAACCTGGTAGGGGTGGGCTTACTGCCAAGGGTTGATTGTCTCGAATAGAAGTTTACTTTTAGCCAAAACCCTTGTGACGTTTGTTTTGTTTTCAGTTGTGGAGTGCCAATAAAATGGTATGAATCTCACTCACTCTAAGATGTGCATGGTTAGCGTATTGGTTTGGTATAATCTTTGACTTCATTATGAAATCTATAATACCCATTTTGCAGCTTTGACTCTTTGCTGCAACATAGTTTTGACACTACTCTCATAATTCAAAATGGCAGCTGGCAGCAGTAACACATTTTTCAGACTATCTTTGGCTCATTATGTTGACCAACCCAATCCAACGTCTTTTGTGCTTTACATAAAAGATGCTGAAAAAACTAAAAAATAACTAAATCTTGTATGACTCAGCTTTCATGGGAAGGAAACACCCTCATAGCAAATGTCTAAAATAGTGCTGGTAAACTTAATTAATCACTTAACTTAATCTTGGCAAATAAAGTTAATCCGAAGCATCTCAATCCGGCTTAAACATTCAGTGATGCCATACACGTCGACCAAATTCATTTTAGTAATGTATCAACACATGCCAATCAATTCTCAGCATGTTCAAGAATTATTTAGCGTACATGTTGTGATGTGCTTGATTAAACTTAGCATCTTGAACACCCTGCTGTTGGATACAGAGAAAGTTGGACATCTGCTGGTTAACACAATTACCGCATCTGAAGCTTTTCATGATGTTAGATTTTGTGTAAAGCACATAAAAAAAAAACTATGTGAGTAAGAGAGAGATACTCACACCTTTTTTTATAGCCTATTGTGAATTAATGTAATTGCTGCAAACATTAATAAAGGAAAATCTCTTTCCGGAGCATTAAACAGAAAGATGAGGATGCGACTGAAGTTATAAGTAGATTATGTTAGGGTAGTTAGTTAGTTTGGAAGGTTAATGTTAGTGCTAGGCAATGAATGTTCAATAAAGGTCAACAGTCCAACAGACTGTTCGGAAATATCATGACATTGTTACAAGGAACATGACAATGAACCCACTATACACATTACTATTGACTGGAGATTGTTAACTACATTTTTATGTGTTTGAAAGACCTTCACGCCTAGCGTAGTCAGCCTATGATTCACCAGAAGGCATAAGCATGTATTAATCCATCAAATGACATAGTTTACAACATCTGACTTGACATTAATCAGGTGTTTCTAAATGTTTTTTTCTATTGTATTGCCAATATCTGTCTCAGTGTTCAGTCCTATATGTATATGACCCCCTGCCCCAGGAAGCCCCAGCTGACTTTTGAATTATGGAAATAAGATTTTCTCAGAAGTATCTTGTTCTTTTTGAATAAATACATTGATGAGTGTAACAAACAGTGAGTGACATAGATACAAAATACAACCATTCCCTGTGAGGCAGAGAAGTTGACCTACTTCCTTTGTTCAACCAAATATATTGTATTCTTTCATGGGTACAGAGTAAGTGCAGAATGACACCAAGCTAGCACTGATTACAGAACTAACACTGACATGTCCTTAACCTAATTCACACTGGGGTTTTAGATTTTACATAAAGCTCCTTTCAGTGTGTTTAAAGGACAAACATTTTGGCTTGGAGCCCACCGAGGGACTTCCCAACTAAACATTGCATGCTAGATTTTGTTACAATGTTCACATGTCATGTGCATCCACAGTACACTATTCTTATTATAAAATGCCTTTCATTGATTTCTTAACCACTCACAGTTGAGGCAATGAAAATGTGCCATCAACAGTCACAGTGTCATCTAGTGTGATAAAATACCAAACTTAATAAACTGAGACCAATGCATGACGACCGGGGCAAAATATACCAAATTGAGAAGCAGTTGTCTTTACAAAAGCTGATTGTAGCAAAAAATTCTAAACTTTGGGAAGAGGCTTCATTTCTCTGTCTTGACTTTGTAATAAAAATGATTTACAAAAAATAGCTAATATAAAATGGATGATACAGGTGTGTAGAGCCAGAAGATTAATGCTCATTGGTCCTATTCCTCATGCTGCTTTTCACAAACAAAAATTGCAGATACATGGCTAACACGGGCAAGGGAAATGGTATCTTATGACAGCATCAGAAGAGTTCAAAATAGTAGCAGGATTTATTAATACATTTGCATAGCAAAACACTACATTATCAACGGTACTGATGATTTTTCTTTAGGTTGATATTCTGGTAAAGGTGAAACAAAATGAGTCAAAAGTGCTGGTGTCTCCCTCAAAACGTTATTGAGAATGGGAAAACAATCTACACAGTAGCATTTTATAAATATGGCTAATATACAGAAATAACCCCACTGTATGTACTGCTAAAATGCATCTTAATAACACGGACAAATACAAAATTTCGGAACTAAAGTTAACTGACATATCTGTACATATACTTTATATCCAATTATTATGTTTTATCTAACGTTAGCTTAATATGTTGTGCTGAGTGAATCACAGCTTTTGTTTCTGGTTTGCTTTGGTTTATTGACAAATTTGCATAGTGTATAAAAGTTAAACATGGAGATTTTGAAACATCTTATTACAGTTTGTATTTATCTGCTGCCAGTTATATGCATTTGAAATGTTAACACTGCGTTGCTAGCGGAAACTAGCTTTAGCTGTGTGAAAATTAGGTAACATTTCTAGCAAATAGCAGGATATTTTTCAACAAAACCATCGGCTCAAAATGCTCTTACCAGACAACAGCAATGACTTTCATTTTGCATGCATGTTTTACCAAACCTCCACAACTTTTCCAGATACAACACAAGAACTGATGATCCTGCCGCTTTTCCTTCGCTGCTCCATCAATAGACCATCAATCTTACATTTTTCCCGTGTTTCCTACTAGGTGATAACAGTCAAAAAGAGTCCACTCCCTTCATCAACTCAGACGATGACGGAGAACAATATTATGATGGAAAGAACATGGCCCTGTTTGAGGTAAGACAAAAAACATGTTTCTCCATATGTAGTTTCACAGTGTTTAAAAATGTCAAAACATTGGATGTTGTACAAAATAGTTTTCATTCCATGCATTGTCCACTAAGCTGCTATTTTTAAAGCAAATTCATGTTGCATTTTATCTATGGTATAGGCACAGTATGACACCTGTCCATTTGTGCTTTAATATTTCATTCATGCATGTCCCTCTGTCTCTCCGCAGGAGGAAATGGAGAGTAATCCCATGGTATCATCTCTTCTCAGCAGGCTGGCCAACTACACCAACCTGACCCAGGGTGTTCGGGAGCACGAGGAGTACGATAACGAGGATGGGATCAGGAGGGTCGCGGTCACGGTATGGACCTGACTTTTGTGCTGGGATAAATTTGAATATTGAAAATGACAGGTGTAACTTTTTTTAAATCCCGACTAATCTTCCTGTAGTTATACCTGAAAAACATGTCTGATGTAGTTTACATGAGTATCCTTGTTGAGAGTTGTTTTTATTTCCATCTCTGGTTTATTGTCTTTACATTGAAATTGGAGTATCTTAGATGCTTTAGTAAAGCGGCATTGGAAAATGTATGGTATTGAACTATTAGTTATCTAATTTTCAGCAATTGTTAAAATTGGCAGTGACTTTAGGTTAAGGAAATAGAATGAGTTTCAGCTAAAATAATTCCTTCTTTTTAGTTTAGCTGACTATTACAAGTTTGAGAACAGTTAACTGCATACTTGGATCCTGGGGAGGATATCACGAGGAGACGAGGCAGCTCCTTAATATCTTCAAAGAATGGACTTTATTGTGAGAAAGTCGGGCAATGTCCCATAAATCTTTCATCTTGTAAGATTTGTAGATTTTGTATTGCCTACAAGTACAAAGCGGGCAGCAGAATATCTATCGGGGTAATCTTTATGGTACTAATGTTTATGTATGTCATGGCTGTATGGTAAAAACACAACCTTACAAACTGCTAAAAACATTCAAAAGAGCTTATAGGAGGTTCTTTTTAGTATTTAAGGAAAGTTTTCTTTTAAAAGTCTAGTTCTTTAATAAGCAACCATAAATGATGTTGGCTCTGAACTTTTTGATGATATCAGTAGGCTCCTGCATAAAACCATGTTAATGATTCATCAAATAGAACAAAAACAAAGCTAATAAGGGGCAAAACTGGGTTACATAGCAAGATAAAGGGGAGTTATTTTGAGACCGATAGCAAGAGATAAGAGATTCTGACCTTTTTTAAATATATCCTTTTTGAATCACTTGAGGTTCATGTGACACACTCAGGATCTTTCAGAAAGTGAGAGTGGTTAGCATAACAAAAACAGAATACATTACTAGTTAAACCAAACATACATGAATTAATGTGACACTTTCTTCGAGCCCCAGAACTGTATCCTTGTTCACTTTCCGTAGTTTTCTCAAACGTTCGAATCTTGTTTCTTTGATGATACCTCGATAAGTGTAAATCAACCTCTAGCGAAGTCACAAGATTAGTTACACCTCCTTTGTCCTGAGACCGCTATGTGGAGCGAATTGCCCCGCTCTGTGTGGGAAAAAATCCTAGAATTACCAACATTTGACCAGTAATTATGTCAAGGTCATGACCAGGAAGGACACTTTCCTTTTGCTCAAACTTGACTCATCTCAAAGAGAGTGTAACAGAATCTGTCCTCACCTCTAGATTTGTAAAGCAGAAGTTCAGACTGGACAGTAAACTTACCCTCAGCTTAGAGAGGCAAGCTAAGTTTAAATCTTTGTTCCCATTAGACAAAACACCCACTAACACCCACTTACGTCCGTTTTTTTGTCTTCTGTGGGAAATGTTAGAATCTTCCTTTATTCCACAACAAATACCTACTTCAGTTGTCACAGCTATTTATCTGTTCAAGGAGAACACTCATTTTCACCCATTTTCAAGCGCAATGCTTTGTGACATTTGTTGTGGATATATAGTAAATAAAATGAAAGAAACTTGGCCAATTATTATCCTTTATTGACATACAAAACATATGATTCATATATTCTGCTTAAATCCACCAGGCTTCTTTGACCGTAACAGTAATTTACATTACTGATCAATGTCAAACACACTATCACAGAGACAAAATAGACTAATCCAAAACATCTTCAGAACGAAAGACTGAATAAGTAACCAATATAAAAATTGAGTAACCACTGTTAATCCTGTTTTCCAGCATGTTCACAAAAACAAAAGGCATACTCATCTACTGGCCTACTTTAATTAAAACCCGCATATATCCACTTATTTTGGTGGAGAAAGGTTTGTCTGTGGTGTGCATGGAAGAACTGATGATGTTTTAGTGAAACCCGCCCCCTGATTAATAGCTGTGACAGAGATCCGAGACCAAAAGGAAAAAGACAGACCATGCAGGGAAAATGAGGGGGAGAGAAACAGACACAAGAGGAAGATAGACTATCTCAAGGGAGAAGATGTGGGATATCTGGAGATCTACATCAGGCACTTCACAGTATTTAGGCACACAACTGAGCGCAGTGGAGAAAGCACAGGACAAAGTATTTGTATCTCGGAAAATGGTATGTACTCTTACGTTTGTTTCAAGTAGTATAGATATATATATGTATGTGATTGTGCAGTGTAATGCACACTTTACTTATTTAAGAATCTAGGGTTAATGATATTTAAACCGTAGGAGGTTAAACAGTGACTTTATACTTTGAGATGCTCTTTGGACAATATTTCTCTGGAAAGCTGTGGCTCAGTAGTTTAGTGTGCTGGTTCAAATCCCGCTGCAGTCAGCATGCCGCTGTGTCCTTGAACAAGACGCTTCAACCCAAATTGCTCTTGTGGGGAGCGCCCGCGGTATTGAATGTGTGTATGTCGCTTTGGATGATAACAAGTGACATGTACTGTAATGATTATATTTAATTTCTTATTTTATTTCACAGGAATATTGTGTCTATTTGTGATTAGATGCGATAATTTGCAAGAAAACTTCAAAGTAATAGTTTTAATGCCAAAATATCAGACGGCCAGTGGATACAATTGCAGTAGTAAAGGTATTGCAATATATTAATTGATAAAAACTGTATCACAATACATACATTATTGTATTACAAGATTCGATCTTTTCTTCTTATCAAGTTTGACTTCCATCTTTTCCCCCCCACTTTAGTTGAGAGAGCTTGTGGAAATGTAATATTTTTGTCCAGCAGATCAACTTTTTAAAGGGTTACATTTATATTATTTATAACATCAGTCTTTTTCTTATGTGTCTATCCCCAGGTCCCTCAAATGGGAACCTTCATTGGAGTTTATCTGCCCTGCATGCAGAACATCCTGGGCGTGATTCTCTTTTTGCGTCTCACCTGGATCGTCGGCACCGCAGGAATTCTAGGATCCTTCGCCATCGTCTCCATGTGCTGCATCTGTGTAAGTTATTTATAAATACAATAGCTAAACATTGACTTCCTGCTGAAAGTGTTGCAGGAAGTTGGAAGAAATATTGTGTAAAAGTTGGGAAAGTAATCCCACTTTTGAAATGATATGCAATGCATCACGACAGCTTGGTAAGTGACCACAAGCATCAATATGAACACACTTATTTTAACCCAAAACCACCATCATCTCTTGCTTTCACTAAGAAAGAAGAGCTGCTTATGGAAATAACCATTGCCATACAATGAACAGTTCACCCTGGTTGACAGCTGAGCCGGGAGCAATCCCCCCCCCCCCCTTCACGGAGAACACAGCAAGCACTAAGAAGCCTTACCAGCTGTGAGAAGGGCTGCGGAGTGCCACTTTCATGTGGCACAGCATATTGTTTAGGTCTATTATCGATGGAAACCAAAATCGGAATCAATTCAGATTTTGTTGCACTAACTACAAAGATGTTTGTAACATACAGTACTCAACGTAAGTTATTAATACTTAATAACGTACTTATTTTAACCATTGCAAATATAATCTTTTCTTAAACGTCAAAAAGGAATGTTCCCACGGCCATGTACGTAACTCACAGCTGATCTTGTGGAGTCTATTTCACTTCCATGCACATTGACATTTTAAGTTAAGATATGTAAACAGTGATGCCAAAGGTTTCTGATGAACCATCCCTATATGATGGATATGAGAATGTGCTTTCATTTCACAGTTTTTCCTCAAAATGTGGCATTACTGTGAATGAAGGAAAGACAAACAAGCAGAGTCTCTCTTGGCCATAAGTGCCTGAACCGGGTAGCGATATACGTCGGAGTTTAAGTCTGAAATTGACGAATGGCTCACCAACTGAAAGCCAATCAATACCCCCTCCTCCGAATTTATGGTGTTGATTTATAACGGCTTTACAGTAATCTGTATGCTTAAACTCAAACGAGGGTCCTCATACAAGCAGGAAATGTGTGTCTTATTTACAACCGAGGTTCGTACGTCAGTAGCTCCACTGCCAAACAGAGAGTTGACTGTTTGCAAAGTTTGAACTTCAAATGCTCAGCACTCATGTGATGTGAACAGTCTGCACTTAACACACTCCTACAATATATATTATATATAGCCACTCTGACTGGCTCTGATGACTTAGACCAGAGACACTGACGGAGGCTATGTGATGTTGGTGCTGCTGTTAGATTTGGCTTCTGGTTAAGGCTGGGTATTTAACAGCAATATTTAGACATATAATGCCTAAAATGTGTTTATTGCACTAGCATTTTGTTCTTGTTCCGGAAAAAATGTGTGCTTTTTAAAATTTAAATAGCATAATGAAAACCTTATTTTGAATATAGACATTCAAATAAACTTTAATTTAAATACTTATCAAATAATGCTGTTATAAACCATAGTTGTGTATAGCATTTTATTCAAACAAATGTCTCGAACAGTAATATTAACTTTTGAAAAGTCCTTCTGTCTCTCCTCGACCTCAGTCATTTATAAAATGACTCAAAGTTAGGTCACCAAACCATAAAAACATAAAATCGCACCCAAAACTATGCTGTAATCAGTGATAAAAATAGACTTTAAAGTGTGAAAAAATAAAAATGTTAATTTTGTAGCAAGTTTAAATAAAGTTATGGCAGTATAAGATCATAATATTCAATGTAAAAACCCAGCTTTTTAAAAGCATGTTCTTCTTGCACAATTAGTACAGTGCATTCTGTACACTAATCTCTTTTGCTTCACCCATTACTTAACGTCGCTCGTCTTTCTTTCCACACAGACCTTGCTTACGGCCATATCAATGAGCGCCATAGCAACCAATGGAGTTGTCCCAGGTACATTTTGAATTCTTGCTATCATGATCTTTTACTATTCCACTGCAATTTTTCAAATGCAATGGCTTGCAACTGCAGATGCATACAACGATGCCCTATTTTCCTGTACTGTAATTTATTTGAAAAATGCAAACCCCATAAAAATCTCTTGCATTGCATTCTGCCCAGAGTAATTTTTGCCATCAGCCTCTGTAGGCATCACAGAGCTCCAACAACCTTTATCAGTAAGATAACATAACGTGTCTGTTGAGTGAGAGACAAACACAGGACAAAAAGTCTGTCATTCACTCCTACTTCTGTCACGCTGAATGTATCTGAGAATAAGGTATGACTGATGTTGAATAAGATCAGAAGTCAAAGCTTTTCTCAAAAAAAAATGTGTTACTAAACTTTTACAAAATAAAAATATCAAGGAAAATCTTTTGTAGTAACTAACCAGGATTTATTTTTCCAAAGCCGGTGGCTCGTACTACATGATCTCCAGATCGTTGGGTCCGGAGTTTGGAGGGGCTGTGGGTCTCTGCTTCTATCTGGGAACCACCTTCGCTGGATCTATGTACATACTGGGCACCATAGAGATTCTGCTGGTATGATCAACACTCCACTTCCACACGCTTCCACATATGAAAATCAGTCACATCATTTATATTGAAATTATATTGACACTCTCTTTCTTCTGTCTTCTGCTGCCAGACATACATTATTCCAACAGCAACGGTGTTTAAAGAGGGCGAAAGTGCAGCGATGTCCAACAACATGCGTGTCTACGGCACGTGCTGCCTGCTCCTCATGGCTCTGGTAGTGTTTGTCGGAGTGAAGTAAGTATTCACTTACACAAATTACGTAGGTTTTATTCCAGTTGACAATTCAAAGAGATGTAATGGCATATTCCGTAAGACTCTCATGCATTCTTTATTCATTTCAATTATTTATGTTCCTATAATATGGCCTTAAAACACAGACTGATGTGTTTCCCTTCTTTTTGCAGGTATGTGAACAAACTGGCCCTGGTGTTTCTGGCCTGTGTCGTTCTTTCCATCATGGCCACTTATGCAGGAGTCATCAAGACATTAATCGAACCACCAGAGTTCAAGTGAGTTCCTGAAATCTAAATAAAAATGTCTCATTAAACACTGACATGTTTTCATTGTGCTGTTTTAATGTCTTTGAAGAGAACAAAGATAAGTGGTGAAGATATCCTGAAAATCAGTAGATTGAATTTGTTTAGGGAGGCGTTTAGTTTGGTTTCTATATTATGCATTTCGCTGCACATTGCTGAGATCGTATAACTCCAGCCTGTTTCTCCAAAACGGAATCGTGCCATCTACTGTAGTTGATACATTAAAGGTAGGGTAGGTAAGAATGGAGAAACCAGCTCGAGTAAGCTAGAATTTTGAAAGTACACAACCGAAAAAAATCTGCCCCTTCCTTCAGACTTCCTTACAGAGCCCCTCCTCCAACACACACACAATGCACACATGACCAATGAGGGCACGAGATAAGTTTGTGCACGAGATGGAAGGCTGACAGGCAGGTAGGCCATCCAGTTATCTGCCGCGGGCCGAGGCAGATAATTGGACTTGCTTTTTACAGCGACACGGCTTCCACAGATGAAATATTTGTATATATTTATTGTCAACGCATTTAATTTATTCATTGCTATCGGGATGTTAAGAGGATTCCATGGAATATAACAAAGTGTTTCTGAAGTGAATTACCTACCCCACCTTTAACAATAGATTCATGCCTAATACAACCCCTTTTCAAGACATCTAACATTTCCCTATAACGCTTACTGTCTAATACAACTTTCATATCATTGCCAAAACTCAAGTATGTGAGGTGCTCTAGAAAAAAATATATGTATTAAGTATTCCACATTTCAATGTAGGTCAATTTGTTATTTAATAGGATTTGTTTTACTCTCTGGAAAAAGAAAAAAAACGATCTGAGATTTTGGATCATGGCTATTTTTTATCCAATCAAATGTTCTAAATAGCAGCGTTTCATTATCTGTCCATACTAGGTTCATAGGTACATCAACCTTTTTAAAACCACTCTCAAATGAAAAAAATCCACTTTATCTATTTACACTTCTCAGTAGTTCTAAAGCATCTATGTCCCAGAAATGTACCTCAAGATATACAGCTGCTTTTATCTAACTCCACTACACTGTCCTCTCTTCATCAGCGTCTGTCTGCTTGGAAACCGATCTCTGAAGAACGAAATGATTGAAACATGCGCCAAGACAGAGGTTATTAAAAACATCACGGTGATCACTGAGGTGTGGAGCCTCTTCTGTGACAGTGAATATTCAAACGCGACCTGTGACGAATACTTCACCTTAAACAACCTGACGGAGCTACGGGCCATACCCGGGCTCCTGAGCGGAGTCATTAAAGGTGAGGAGGTGGAGAGGAAGGAGCCTCAAGATATTTATTGCCCCTAGAGAAAAAAAGGAACTCTGATGTTCATATGGCTAAAGATATGTTTTCTTTCCATCAGACAACCTGTGGGGCGACTATGGGCCAGCTGGTACATACATAGAGAAGAAAAGCCAGCCTTCCATAGAGGAAACCCAGGACACCACCGATGATGTGTATAAGCCCTACGTCTTCAATGACATCAGCACCTACTTCACTCTGCTGGTGGGAATATACTTCCCCTCTGTGACAGGTACATCAAAAAACGTTTTATCAATAAGAAATGATTGTGATACAACATTCTATAATATGACCATACTCTGAAATAAGAAGTAAAGCATGACGAGCATTTCTATGACATGCATTACATTTTTTTTTTAGTACTCAAGTACATTAACACCTTTCCTTACGTTAATTAAAAAACGTTAACGCCTAGGTGCCATGCATGCACATATGCTGCGTACCCCATCCTCAGTACTCCTTTTGGTAATTGTCTCAAAAGAAACATAGATTTCATCATGTACAAAACACACAACTTGATTTTTATCTCACATATTCTGCTTCATTTCATACTTTTTGCTGTTGAGCCATTCAAAAACAAATTCAAAATTGCTTTTATTGCCGCACACAAAGGGAGGCATGCATCTGCATTAATAGGGCTTAGTAACAACATAAGTTATATTCATATGCCAAAAAAAATAAAAATCCCATTTCTTAAGTTTTAGGATGATGACAGAGATTTGAAGCTTAACATATAAAAACTTGTAACCATCAGTGAAGCTCTGTTTGATTGATGCCTCTGCTTTTTTCCCCTTCCTACTGTGTATTGATACTGTTTTTTTTGTAGGTATAATGGCTGGTTCTAACCGGTCTGGTGATCTCAGAGATGCTCAGAGGTCCATCCCAATCGGAACCATTATGGCTATTCTCACCACCTCTTTCATCTGTATCCTCTTTCTGCACGTGTGCAGCTGATACAGTTTATACAAACTGTAGTGTCAGTTGATGATAGAGAGCAGCCAAACGTGTATCTTTCAGCTTTATTTGTATGAATGTGTATTGTAATGTCACAGGTCAGGTTTGATACTGCAAAATGAATAAAACATTTTTTGTTTCCATCTTAACTTCATGCTCAGACATCTCCTGTGTGGTCTTGTTTGGAGCATGTATTGAAGGAGTGGTGCTGAGAGACAAGTATGATTTATGTGTTTTGTTTTTTTTTATGAACTTCTACTTCTATAGTGAAACAAATGATGGCTAGACACTTTGAATCAAATTCAGTCTAAACCTGTCGTCCAAAATGAGCTCTGTAAATACATTCGATTGATTGATTTTGGGTGATTCAGGTTTGGTTACTCCGTAAAGAAGAACCCAGTGATTGGCATTCTGGCCTGGCCGTCACCCTGGGTGATTGTGATTGGCTCGTTTTTCTCCTGCTGTGGGGCGGGGCTTCAGAGCCTCACCGGCGCCCCCCGTCTGCTGCAGGCCATCGCTCGGGACGGCATCATCCCGTTCTTACAGGTCAGTGTTTGAAAGATCTTTGTTTTTCACATGATGCTGTCCTGTGGGCTTTCAAAATTAAGCATCACCCAGACACAAAGAGGGTTTGTTTGACTATTTTTAATTTTAAGCCGTTTACACACTTTCAAATACAGATTTAGACCGATTTCTAATCTCAATTAAAACCTTAAAAAGCTGAAAGAAAGAGGGTGTTGTATGCTGTTCAGATTTTAAAGTCCCCTGAAGCAATATTATATGTGATATTGAGCTACACTGAACAAAAATATAAACGCAACACTTTTGTTTTTGGTCCCATTTTTCATGAGATGAACTCAAAGATCTAAAACATTTTCTATATACACAAAATAACCATTTCTCTCAAATATTGTTCACAAATCTGAAAAAAATCTGTGATAGTGAGCACTTCTCCTTTGCCGAGATAATCCATCCCACCTCACAGGTGTGGCATATCAAGATGCTGATTAGACAGCATGATTATTGCACAGGTGTGCCTTAGGGTGGCCACAATAAAAGGCCACTCTGAAACGTGCATTTTTGCTTTATTGGGGGGGGTCTGGGGGGGTCCGAAAACTAGTCAGTATCTGGTGTGAGGGTTAGGATTAGGGTTAGGGTTAGGGTAATGTTGTGAATCGAGTGGCCTGTGTTCATCGTCCATAACATACGCCTGCCCATACCATAACCCCACCACCACCATGGGCCACTCGATTCACAACATTACCCTAACCCTAACCCTAACCCTAATCCTAACCCTCACACCAGATACTGACTGCATCTTAAATTAAATTAGTTGACAAGATTTTACAAACACTATATGTCAAAAAATTCATTAATGATAAACAAATGAGGTTTATATCAGGAACCTCTGAACCCAGGGCCAGACTATTACATGCTCCCGAAAATACACAAAGAAAGACATAAATGGTCCTTACCTTATGAAATTCCTCCGGGCAGACCCATTATATCTGATTGTAGCAGCGAGACTTACCGCACGGCCGAGTTCATTGATTTTTACCTCAATCCACTTTCCATCATCCACACAAGGACGGGTTTCCTAATGAAACACAAAATATTGTAACAACCAACACCAAAAAACGCGGCCGTTGGTTCCTCAAAATAACGACTGTTTTCTTTTAGGACACTTGGACATACAAACCCCCCAGGGTCCGTACCAACATAAGGAAACGAACCTAGGTTCATTCTGACCGTCCAAAGAACAAAAAAGATTACGCGTAATATGAACGCCCAGAAACAAATTTACAGGCAAAAAGGATATTACAACTTCAACCCGTAATTATTGAAACTGATCAAATTGCGACTGACCCTTATACATCACTATTTCCGTTAAACCTCCTCTGGTTTACCCAAAGCAGACAGTTGCAAGATTTTCTTGCTCACATGGGAGATCTCTAGTACGAGGTTTTCGCAAAACATCGGTAAAACCTTCAGGAGAACAATTATTATAAGATACCTTGGAGTTTTCGACACTAATTGTTTAAGGGCGTATTCACACTAACGCTACCACCGAACAAGACACCTCTTCCGTACCCACAGCCTGAGAAATTTTTTAATGAAATTCGTAGTTAAACACAACAAAATAGCTTTTAATAAGGACTACATCCCACCACAGTCTTTAGGGTGCTCCACATCGACCACTACCTAAAATCACTCTCCTAAACAACACATAAGTACCACTACTGTTTATCTAGTTTAGGAGGAACCACCTCTTGGTGTGCGGGGTCTACGTAGCCTATAGACTTATTATACACCTTCAGGGAAAATCCCTCCTCTGTCCCGGTCTCCAAAGGGTGAGACGGTAATTTTTACAAGAGATCCGACCTGCTTGAAGAAAGGGTACGGTCATGGAAATAGACGTCCTTCTTGAGAAGGTAATTCAAGTTTTAGTAAAGGCAAAGTTTAAATTAGAGGTTATTAACATTATTAGGAACAGACCAGAAAAACATAGTCCCACCAAATGCTTATCAAAATACCGAACATACGAAGAACCTACAGATACAAACACATATTCGGATGGATGCAGGTAACACTTATTGAACGCAGGACTCAATATAACTCAACCACAAAATTAGACGAATTTTTCA